AGGCTGGTAAAACCCACAGAAACAGCTGACCTGAACAAGGAAGAGCTCATGGTCCCAAGACTGATAGCTGGGAAATCAGCATAGGACTGATCCAGACCCCATGAATGTGGGGGTCAGTGAGGAGGCCTCAGAAATCTATGGGGCCTCTTGTAATACATCAGTACTTATCTCTAGCATAGGAATGGACTTTGGAAGCCCATTCCACATAGAGGGATACTCCCTTAGCCTAGACACACCAGGGAGGGCCTAGGCCCTATCCAAAAGGATATGAGAGATCCTGAAGATCCCCCATGGAAGATCTCGTCTTCCCTGGGGAGAAGAAAGGGTATGGGATAGGTAGGGTATTAGTGGGGGGGCAGGAGAGAAGGGGAGGGAGAGGGAACTGGGATCGACATGTAAAACAATATTGTTTCTAATTTAAATTTTAAAAATCGAAAGAAAAAAAAACAGTCATAATGATGTCATCAACAGTGAGAGTCCTTTGGCTCACCAATGCTTACAATCAGTATACAATCTTTGTCTAGGATGTCCTAGGGACAGGCAAGGTCAGAAGGAGCCAGAAAGACCTGGAGTGGCCTTGAGATGTGCTGGTCACTTTTCTTCTGTACTAGGAAACAGGGCTTGTCAAGCTAGGTAGCAGATTAGGAAAAGCCTGGAGAATTTAAGGGAAGAAAATCCTAGGGCTTTGTAGGCAGCCAGTAGAGACTTAGAATGAATCCATTCTGTTTGGGCTTGGACATCAGTATTTGTTTTTATTTTTGCATTTACATTTTTTAAATAAAACTTACCATTTGAACCACTTTCAAGTGTCTAACTCAGTGGTACACAGAATACTCAAAGGCAGTGAAGTTGTCACCAGCTTCCATGCCCAGTGCCATTTCTACCTCCAGTCAACCCAAGTCCTTCTCCCTGCCTGCAGTCTCTGGCAGCCAGCCCTCATTTCCATCCAGTGAGTTCCAGAGCTCCCAGTTGCTCCAGAGAGGGGAGTCCAGTCATAGAGGACTTGTCCTAGGACAAATTCTACAAGGGGCTCTCTGTGCAGTCAAGACCCAGGGGTATGGCCAAGCAGAGGCTGTGTCTGAATTCATTTCTGGAAAGAGAATAGGGATGTAGCCAGAGGCAGCAGTGAAAAACCTCAGGGACAGAAAGAAATGCTTCAAAACTTCAAATTTCTGCACCAAATTACATTTAGGAAAAGACAGCTAGAAGGGAAAGACTGTATTTTTGAGAAGGAACTTTGGCAATTAGGGCCACTAAATTATACATATTTTAAAATTTCACAAATAATAATGCTCATGTACATGCTATTATGAAGCATATATGCAATGTGTGGCAATCAAAGACAGTGGCGGATCTGTCATTTCACCATTGAATCCCTGGGGCTGGGGAGATGGCTCATGTGGCAAAGTGCCTGTGGATCAAGCATGGAAGTCTGAATTTGGATCCCTGGCACCCATTACTAGCTTGCTGCAGTGTGGGTCTGTAATCCCAAAGCTGAGAAGGCTGAAATTCTTGAGTTTACTGGGCAGCCAGCATAGCTGAATGGATGAGTTCCAGATTCAGCGAGAGACCCTGTCTCAAAAAATTAGAGTGGAAAGCAACCAAGGGAAGCGCCTGACCTCAGCCTCTGATCTCCACATGCACATGTACAGATGCGTCCATGCATCCACATGTACACATACACACACCCTCAAACATGTAGTCACACACAGACAGTTGTTGTTATTGGTAATATCCAAAATCCTCCTACAGGCTGTCTTGAAATACTGAATCAATTATTGTCAACCATAGTTTTCCTACCATGTTCTAGAAAGTTTTCCTTGGTTCCCACTGCACCACTCTCCCCACTGCACCACTCCCTCTCCATAACCTTTCTCCTCCTGCCTTTCTTAGCCTCTAGTAACAACAACATCTATCTTTCTCCTATGACAGTGACTTTTAGGGGGATTTTCCTTACCATACACTGAGGAGCCACAAAACCGTTCAGGGAGCCACTTTCATCTTGTCCCACCTTTCTTTACAGGATGGAAACAATAACAGCTGATTCACAGAAAGGTGCAAAGCCCAAAAGCAAAGTATGTGCACATGCCTGACACACTCCCAAATCCTGTACAAGTGACAGTTCTGCTATGGGAGTGGGTGCCAATAACTTCTTGTCCTCGTGTTTTTTTTTTTTTTTTTTTTTTTTTTTTTTTTTTTTTTTTTAGTACATTAAATTTGAGAATGCTCAACATCTCCATCTGGGCTCAACTGAGACCCTCACAACATGTTTAAACACACAAAGATCTGTGGAAATTAATTTTTGAAATATCACCTTACTTTCTGCATGAAATAACCTTTCCATATCTGCAGTCAGTTTTCCAGGAGATGGGCTAGAAGGGTGGTCATGCTGATCTGAACCAAACAACATTGTAGTTGCTAAGTACCGTGAAGACACAGAGACAGACATCATCTCCTCTTTCCTTTGTGCCGGATGCCAGTCAGCACCTGCCCTTTGTGGGGCAGGGAGCAGAGGCACCCGTGGGCACACGCCCAGCTCTGATTTGAGTGCTGTGTGCCTTCTATTCAAAAAAGACAGAGTCAAGGTGGCATTGATGTCTCCTATTTCTTTTTCCATTTAATATTAAAAAAATAAAGATAGCTATTAGGGAAGGAGAGAGGCAGTGAGGTGGGAAGAGGGTGAAAGGGAGGGGGTAGTTTGTTAGCTTTGTATTGCTAATGTACTGTGTTTTGTGGCAGGCTGGGTTGTTCAGCCAGACTACCTCAAAAGGGGAAGGCAGCCGCTTAAGTGGAGAGCTTGACTGGGGACAAAAGATGCACCTGCAAAGCACAGGCTTAATCGTCTCTAGAGGCCAGGGCCGAGGCTGGGAGATAAATGCCCAGCACCACCTGAATGGGGCAGTCTGAGCGTTCGCCTGGATGCTACAGTCAATTCATTTCAGAAGAGGCTTGCTACCCAGTAGGAGCTGGAGGCTCCTGCAAACAGCCTGAATGAGGCAGCAGCGAGACAAATGCACTCTGGACACAAAAGGGCCCGCGGAGGAGGGGCTCGCCTGGCAGGTAGAGCAGAGGGTCTGGGGATGTGCTGGACTTCTCAGCAGGAAGGAATGGGTTTGCAACACACTTCAATGTCTCTAAACCATTTTTTTCAGCCCAAACCTGTCTTTTAACCCAGTATGAACAAATAGCCCATTGGTTTTTATCTAGCCCAAAATCTCATTGGTTTATTTTGACGGCACCAGCATGCTACACTAAATCTTAATTCAGTGGTTCACAAGCTTGTCTTTCCTTTCCCCTCCTTCATGTTCTTCCCACCTTCCCTTCCTTTCTTCCTCTCCTCTCTTCCACTCCCCTCCGTTCTCTTTCCTCCTTGCTCCCCTTCTCTTTCCCCTCTTCACTGGTACTTTCCCTTCTTTCTTTCCCAGCCTGTAAGCGGTAGGTAGCTCCAGCATCAGCCATGTCAGAAGCAGAGAGCTCTACACTCAGTGACTGACCCTCCCTAGAGCTCTGCAACTGACACCAGGCTGAGGACCTGTGATGTGATGTGATGAAGCCAAGTGGCCAGACCTCAGTGTCATGACAATAAATATTCTCTGCTACAGACATGTGTAATGTCATGGAACAATCATCAGGCTATAGAATGAGTGGGCAGAGCTTCAGTTCTTGTGACAAAGTAAGTATCTGATTTGGGGAATCAGTAGCCAAAACAAGACTAGGTTGGGTAATAGAGAGGAAAGGAAAAACAAAACCAGCTAAAAGCAGAAACATGATATTGTATAATCCTTCCACTAAAGATCCTGGTCCTTATCAAACCAAACTGTATGCCTGAAGGTGTGACCTTGAGTGAGACATGTGAGGATGTTTGGGTCTATGTTCCCTTCATACTCCGTGAGAATTTGGAAACAAATGTTCTCCTTCCAGAGACTAGCCTACAACAGTGCCAGACCCTTTTGTCTCTGTCCAATTTTGTAACAGGCATAGGTCAAGAAAAACTGGGGTGGGAGAGTGTCCGGGAAGAGACGTCTGTCATACTGCCATCATCACACCAGCCCTACTCAAAAGTTTTCATCTGTGGACTCCTCCTGTTGCTGTCAGAAGATTTGTTTTCACTCTCCTTGGTTTCTAATAATTATTTGCTTTCACTTTCTCCATTAATTAACCAGATATCATGAATGATTCATTCATTTAAATCTTAAAATCAGACAGTATGTGGTCCAGTTCTACAATATTAATGTCATAAATAAATGAGCGAGCTCCACCTCTCTCTCTCTCTCTCTCTCTCTCTCTCTCTCTCTCTCTGTGTGTGTGTGTGTGTGTGTGTGTGTGTGTGTGTGTGTGTGGTACTGGATCAAACCCAAGGCCTCACATATCTGGGCAAGCATTCTACTGACTATCTGGAACTTCAGCCCCTGCTGATGAAGGTTCTGAGACATGCTACTTTGATGTTCACTAAAACCATTTTTTGAGACCGTTTTCTTTCTTTCTGGACAAAACCAAATGAAATCAAATGAATGGTTTGATTAAACAAAGTCAAACTAGACCAGACCAACCTATACTAGACCAAATCTTCAAAACACCACTTTAAATATGAATTGACAATGCCAAAAATTTTTCAGAAGATCCAAAATGAAACTTTACAAGGCAGACACACATTCCGTTATCTTCACCAGGAGAGCCCCCAAGAGTCAGCTTGGAAAGCTAGAAGAGTCCATTGTTCTGGAAAGGCAGCACCCTTCTCTCTCAGGGGCAATGTCTTTAAATTATATTATTGGGATATTTCTATGAACTATTTCAAAGCTTCTCTTGTAATTTTGAAGCTAGTGGCAGGAAAAAAGAACACATGTTTCATAGACATTTTTTTTTCATTTTATGTAGTAGAAAAATTATAGTTTGCTGAGCAAGAAATTGGTGTCCATACTTATTTCCCACCTGTCTAAACAGTAATGAACAGCAGTGTCTGGTAGTGGAGGGAATCTGGGCGCGTGAGGGAGCAGACTTACCTTCCTTGACACTCAGCCGTGAGGACTGGTCTGTGTGGGAGGTTGTATTGTAGGCCAGCAGTGAACCTTAAATAAAAGCAAAAACTAAATGTCATGCTTCAGTTTAGATCTAGAAGGTTCCCCCAAAAGTCTGTGTGTAAGAACCAGGCTTCCCAGCATGTTGATATTAAGTAGAGAAGACTTTAGACATGGGGCCAAGTAGGAGGCCTGCCGATCCTTGAGTGGGCTGCTTCGTGAGTGGATTGTGGGACCCCCATCTCTGGGATGGTGATGCTGTAACAGGAACTTCCCCAGTATGTAGGAAAGCAGAACTCAACACTCACAGAGTCCCACACTGATTCCTCTGGCATCTCAGAATGCTGACGTATGGTCTTGTATGAAGCTTTGGTGCAAACATCTCCGTATCAGGCTCCGTATCAGGAAGCCATTTGGAATGGATGATTAGTTTCTTGTTGTCATTGCATGTAAAACACATGCTCCCTCCTTTCCTAAAACTAGATTTGTCCCTTTGTTTAAAGTGAACCCAAGAGTTTTATTTTGTAAAATGGAGGCATTTTTGGGATTCTTCTCATGATTCTCCCGGGGACGTTTTGAAAAGCCATCAAAACCATGGCTGGGATCTGCTTTTACAAAGGACAACATGAGCTTAACACATGTGTTTGAGGCTAAGAAAGCCATTCTAAACAACTCCTGTCCTTGGGGCATGTGGCCAAGGGGACTGACTGGAGGCCAGGCATGGAATGGCTTGCTGGCTTGTCAGTCAAGGAGGGTCTCAGAAGCAAGATGTAGTGTGAGTCTTCCCCCCACCCCCGTGAGTGTTCTGGCTGAGTATTCAGAGGAAATATGGGTACCATCAGGGCAACCAAGGACTCCTCCTGGAACATAAGACTCCTGGCTTAGGTACCTATCCTTTCTAGCTCTGAAGTAGCTCCCAGATGAAAAGCAGGAGATCGATGGATGCCATTTAGGGACTGCTATAAGCTGAAGTGCAGATATTTGGGCAGCATTTTCTAAGTAATACACCCACCCAAAACTATCAGTGACACAATGACAAAGTAGGCTATCCTACTTCAAAATAGCAAGTTGATCTGAGTATAGGTCCATCAGCCTAATTCCTCTGGGTCACATGGCCCCTCATCTATACTGAGTGAAGAGTAACCCTTACTGAACATGGATGACAGTTGTGAGGCTCCAAGAAAACCAAATCTATAAGGTGTGCAGAAGACCTTCACTTTTTTGAAGTGTTCAGTCAGAGCTAACAGTTCTCATGACTGCTTTTAGTTACAAAGGATGGAAACCCTTTACACAAGAGTTTGCGGGAACTGGCACTGCTGTCTGGAATCCCAGTTAGGAATGGGTTCTACCGCAACAAGAAATAATCCTCCATGACTGGACAGAGCCTCAGAGATGGAAGTAAATGTTCCAAGAGAATACCCAAACCTCTCAGGGGCAACACCAAGAATGTCTGTGCCTCTGTCCCAGGCATTCTCTCCCTCAGGCAGAACCTCGCTGCTACAGCAAATAAAGAAAAATGATGGGCTCTGAGCAGCAAGGAGTCATTAGTACAACGCTAGGCCAGAGTCAGGGCTCAGATAAACCACGTTTATTAAATTTCTCCATGGTCAGAGTTCCTTTCTGAGCACATATGAAGCCACAGGAAACTCCCAGAATGCCAAGAGAAAGGGTCGCCTGACCTCCACAAAGCCTGCATGAAATACATATTTCATGGTAACCTAGGGGAGAGATTTTGCCCCAAGACTGTCTTGGTTCAAGTTTCACTGCCGGAGAGGAAACCTCCATGGGGGAGGGGCTGGCCTCTCCCCAGAGATACAAGTTTTCTTTTCACTGGTTTTTATTTTGCCAGGTCTTCAGGCTACCAGGGGTGCCTCCTGCATACCACCCCGCCCCCTTTAAGGCAATTTGTCCAGTTGCAGGAAAGTCCTTTCTGGAGTCTGGCCTCCCACTTGGTGGCTTTGGGAGTTTCACCAAGCATTCCTAGTGAGTTTCCCTACACAGCCTCAGTCAATGGCTAGATATAGGGCAGCCTTGCTGAACTACATTTGCACTGCCAGGCACACGTGTGTGTGTGTGTGTGTGTGTGTGTGTGTGTGTGTGTGTGTGTGTGTTCACATGTGAGTGAATTCCTACACATATAGGTATAGGTACCCTTCCTCAGGATATGTCCATCTTGGTGTTTTGATACAGAGTCTCTCACTGGGACCTGGGGCCAGCTGATTAGGCCAGGCTGGCTGGCTAGCAAGGGGGGAGGGTGGATAGCCACTTGCTTTCACTTCCCCAGAACTGGGAACAAAGGTATGCTGCAATAACTGGCTATTTTATATGAATTCTGGGGATCAAAAGCAGGTCTTCATGCTAGCATGGCAAGCATTTTCTCAACTAAGCTATCTCCACATTCTCTCATACACTGTTGATGAGTTCATGTGGGAACCATGCATATTCTCCTTCCATAGCTGAGAACAGAGAAGTCAAGTCTGAGGCTTAGGACCACAGAGCCAGGGGTACTGACCGGCTACTCTATAAGACCTGTCCTCAGTTCAGAAGCTGAAGCAGCCTTTAGATTAAATCAACACAGCGAAGATGGGCAAGAAAGGATGAGTGTTTATTCTAACACGCCAGAGGCTAAGACAAGAGGATCACTGAAAGGGCTAATAGCTGAGATTCAGAGAGAAACACTGTCTCAGAAAGATGTAAAGAAAGGAAAGAAGGAAGGAAGGAAGCTAGTATAGATGAGGGAAGGAGGGAAGGGATGGGGGGAGGTAGAAAGGAAAACAAAGGGTGCTGGAAGGCAGATGTAGGTTCCTTGGGCTAGTTGTACACTGCAATTTTCATAATTCCCTGTATGTTATGCCTTCATCTAAACTGCTGTCCACTCAGTTATTATGTCTGTGTGACAGGATACATACATACATACATACATACATACATAATACATACATACATAATACATACACACATACATATATATTTGAGACACATTTGCCCTACATTGCATGAAGCTGTGGCTGCTGAGAGTGAAGTGGCCTTCCAAGGTAAGAGCTTAAGGAAAAGATTAATTTTGGTTTTTCCTTTTCTTTCCTCTTTTTCTTTCTTTCCCCTTTCTCCTATTCCTCTTCCTCCTCTTCTCCCTCTGCCTCTTTTCTTTATTGAGACAGGGCCTCATGTATCCCAGGCTTGCTTAGCATTCACTATATAGCCCAGAATAGTCTTACATTTCTGGTCCTTCTGCTTCCACCTCCCAAGTGCTAGAGATAACAGGCATTGGGCACCACACCCAGTTTACAGGGTGCAAAGGATCAAACCCAGAGTGTCCTGCATGCTAGGCAAGCACTCTACCAATGAAGCTACATCTCTAGCCTAGCAAGGTCATTTTTTCTTTGGGGTCCATCCTAAACTGGACTTCTGGGATCTGAAAGGTGGTAGGAATGGGCAGATGGGAAGGGGCTTCGCAGGATGAGGCCCAAGCTTCCTTCAGCTCTGTGGTCTCCCTAACTTGCTTTTCATCTGGGACACCTGGAGCAATGGAGGCAAGGGAACCTGTGTCAGAGCCTTTGTCTCTGCCTCTTTTCCTGTTACCACAGAACCCACTATGCTTCCCTTCCTGTTACCATAGAACCCACTAACATCTAAGTCCCCAACACCAGGCAACCAGTAGATTCCTAGATCCTTTTCTCTTTGCTTCAGTGCATCCCTGAGTGCACACTGGGAGGGCAGAGGAGAGGAGTTGGGCACTATACATGAATAAATGGCCAGCTACTAGTGAGTCTGAAGCCACTGGCCCTTTATCTTATAGGAATCCTGCCCTCCTTTCCCAGGGCCAGACCCCGCCAGAAGGCTTAACACTTCCTCAACTTAATGACTGGGCCATCACCTTTGCTCCACCGTCTGCAGGTGGGAATACCATAGAATGCAGAGTGTGTTTTCCATTAAGTTTAAATTAAAAACGGGAATCAAGATTGATACCTTTTCTGGGGTGTCCCTGTCACTTGACATATTTCATCCCGTGGAGCTGCCACTGTTTTAAAAATGCCGTTTCTTAGTATGTTTCCCAGGTCAGACCCAGATGGACATGCTACCCAGTTCCTTTGAAAATGAAAAGGAGCAACAAAACCCCTTTTCTTCTGCTTCTGGCTGTTCAGTCCAGGAGCTTTTGGGCTCCTAGACATCTCTAAAGTCCCTCAAGTGGCCCTGTGGCTGAACTGTCAGCTGGGGACAGACAGCCCTGCTTCTCCAAGGTCAGCCTCATTGATCTTGGCATGGGAAAAGACAGCTCTCACTTGCCACATTCTGGGCTGTAAACAGTGCCTCTGTCTGTCCAGTGGGTGTGTCTAGAAGATTCTGGAGGAGCTGTCAATCACACACAGAGTTTGGAGAAGAGAGGAGGTCAGGGTGAGTGAGAGGGTAGGTTTGGTTTAATTGGCATCAATCCAGGAGGCTTCAGAGGAGTTTTGGAAAGCCTGTATCTGTTGGTATAATACAAATAGAAAGTTTTGTGGAGAGGTTGGTTTGGCCCTCAAGGTGGAGGCTGGAGAGGAGGTTATCCCGGGAGATGAGAAGGGAGACAAACCCGGTGCAGGTTCATTTACGTCCACATCCTAATTCATTCATATTCAAGAACCTTGCACCAAAGTTGGCAGATTCTTTGCAGCAGTGACCTTAGCTCAAGCTGAAAGCTTCAATGACTCAAGTCTCAGAGGTCAGGACAGGTCCCGAAGCTGGCCAGCTTTAGTTTCTTTGGCCATGAAATAGGGATAACAGAGTTGTGTCCATGGTGCCCACAAGGGGGTGTCCTGTCTATATGTAGTGAATGACACTTGGGCTGGTGCTTGCCTGAGCCTTGTTCCCTCAGACATTTTAGCCTGACTCCAATAACTGTGGGTATCCTAGTCAGTCCCAGACCCTCCATCTTCCTCCTGATGTCACACAGGTGCTCCATCCGGAACAGCTGAAATGCTCAGATGTGAAGAGCTGGTAACTTTAGGCAAGGTTTAGCCCCTCTACAGCCTACATCCTGTAGGTGTAGAGGGGCTCGGGATACATTTATTTGTTTCTTATCATGGGAAACTCCTCTTTAATTTATAATTAAGCCTTGAAAACTTAAAGTATGACTTGCTTCCTAGACAACAAAAGTCAACTGTCTCTTGGGAAAGTAAATTTGATGCCAGAATGTCTGACCCTATGGAAGTGTCTTTACCCATTGAGCCATCTCATTGGCCTAGCTTCCAACAATTCATGCTTTGGCTCCTCCCAGGTACTCCTGTGCTGACATCCCTCTACTCTGTGTCCTCCATCTGTGTTGAGGGTCTCAGCTCTTTTTCCACTAATTCTTGCAAAAAGGGGAAGTGTTTAGGCCCCCAACTGTTTCCCAGCACTATGATGCTGAAAACTAGCAAACATTCCCCTTAATCAACCTTGTGCCAAACCCTGGCCTCTCTCTTAAACATGAAACAGTACTTGCAAGTCAGTCTAGGAAAACCATAAAGGTTTGAAAGCATGTTGTACAGCAGGAAGAAGTTCTCAGCCACCATAGAGGTGACAGTGTCTGATAAATGGCTTTCTATAGGGTCTACACAGACAACTAGTATTGATCACCAGTAGGTTCTAGATGCTGGAACCCCAAGGAAGAAAGTATATTTAAAAAAGAAAAGAAAAACAAATCAGAAAAATTTCCATATGGATCATTTTAAATCTAGATGCCTCAGAAGATTATTACAATCTCTGCTACATTTCAGAAAATTTAAATTTAAGACAACTACTATAATTTCTGTTTCGGCCCACAGACACAGCGTTCCACTCACCTTTGTGTCATAAGTACATCTCATGTTTCACCACAATAGCCATCTTACTACCAGAAAAGCTCTCCTTGCTCTCCTACTATTGCTGGCACCATCCTCTAGATCCAGGAAATTTGTCCTGTGCTTTCAAAGACTTTCCACATGCATACTGGTTCTACCTCTTCTCAACCCTGGAAACTCTTTCACTGCAATCCCCTCTCTGGAAACGTTGTATGGCATCATCCATAATGTTTACATTCGTTCTTAGGAGAAGGGAACCCACAGTTTTTCTTGCTATATTCTATCCTCCAAACACCAAACTCTGATCCCTGCTTCCTCTCTAGCTGCTTACCCCTTCACCCCTTCTTATCTGCCCTTGTAGGCGGCCACCCAAGGGTGATGATGAGCACTGACAGATTCATTGTATTCCTCAGGCCTTCCGAGCAGCAGATATCTGTCTCACGTTAATGTGGCTCAGCTTTTTTGGCGACAGAAAGAAGAAGTAAGGAATTGGGCTGTTTATGGCTGGGTCAGAAATCCAGGCCTGGAGGTCACATGCTCTGAATGGGCTTGCCTCTTAGGAAGTCCAAATGTTTTTTAACATGTTCCTCACAGGCATCCACCATGAAAACTAATATTATTGGGTCCTTGGTGTGGAGCTCACTGAAGCCTCTGTCATGTCTTCTTCCTTGATGATCTCTCTACCTCCTTCACAGTGGAAGCTGGAGGAGCCTAAAAGTCAGGCTGTGCTCTGTGCTACTGGTCTCTGCTTCCCATGTGTACTTTCTATGTCTTCTGTCTCCCCTGCCCACCCCATGTGGATCATGGCAGAACTCTGCTCAAAGAGACTTTTGTTTTGTTTTCCCTTTTATCAAGCATTTAAGGGTTGAGAAATACAGATCATTGTTAAATGTTAATCATCCAAAAGTCAGAGAAGGCGAGGTGGAAAACAGCCCCCCTTTAAAATTGTTATTTCTTGGACTGACCTCATATTGCAGCAACTCAGACATGAGGTCATGGCTATGGAGCTAGCATACCCTCTCCCAGCACTACCAGCTGCCTTTGAGAGGTGGCTGGATGGCCCAGAGGCACTGGTGGAAACTTCCAAATATATTTATTTTTATTTTCAATTTTCCAGCCAGTGTGTGTTGTTCCTGCTCTCCACAGGACTCTCTTACATTGAGACCATGGATTGCAATGACAGCAATTAAACATGCAATGGTACAGGGTAAAGCATCCCAGAACCCATGAGCACATGTAAAGCAGCCCCACAGTATTGTCTGGGGTCTCAGCATTCACAGGGGCCTTAAAACCATCAAAGCTTCCCAAAACTTAACTCTTGCAAACCCTGGCAAGAAGGACCATTCATAGAGGACAGTGCATCTTGGTCGGCCTAGTCTCTTTTTTGATGTGGCTATCTATAGGAATGCCTTCATGCAGAATGAGCCCACATCTGCCTTCCTGTGGCTTCAGCTCATCTTTGCAGACCACTAGGCATACCTTCGGCACTTAGAGATAGCATGGGGATAGACCCTGGCATGGATTTCTGATGGAGAGTTAAGGCTGAAGTCACTAGCAGGTCCAAAGGAATTCTGTTGTATCTCTATTGAAATCTACATGGAAATGGTAGGTGCTTGGCACTAGGGGAGCCTCCTGTTAGATAACTCTTCTTTATTAAGCTTTCCCTCCCCAAAGTTCTCTCTGCTGTCCAAGCTGTTCTTGGAAAGCTTCCAGTTTCTCCTAACAAAGCCATGCCACCAGCTACTCTCCTTGTTTTGTGACAGTGGGAAAAGCAGCCCTTAGGGTAGAGGTATGGTGTCAGAATGACTCCAGGATAAGAGGAATAATATGTCAGTTCCCACTATCTTAGATCCCATATCTATGTTCAGAATCTCCAGTCAGAACTCTTTAATGTTTCTTAGAAAATTTCCAATTAGAGCCTCTATCACTTCCACTGTTAGGTAGTGGAAGGTTCTGGAAGAGAGATCTTCCTAGAGCCTACCTAGTCTATGTTATCATCTTCCCCAGGTCCAAACTCCCTTTCCCTCCTTCCCCTTCCTTCCTTCCTTCCTTCCTTCCTTCCTTCCTTCCTTCCTCCCTCCCTCCCTCCCTTTCCTTTCCTTTTCTTTTTAGTCACTATTGACACTCCTGGATTGGGTCTTTCCTTTGCAGGGGGTTTGTAGGAACTCATGTGACCTTGTCAAGGTTTCAGTAGTAAGGGTGTTGCTCCTTGTCTTATGTCCCTGGTGACTAGTTATAAAAGTATCCACCTCCTTCCCCTCAGCTGGCTCTTGGGGACCTGGCAGGCCCCCAGCTCTTGGAGTTTATGGTAAACTTACTTTCCCTGAGGTAACTGAGGTGTGATAACAGCACTTCGGTGTTGTAGAGGGAGGTGCCTCTGAGGAAGTCATCCTTGTTCATTTTACACAGTTCCTTGCCATCCATGTTTTGGAAGAAGGAGGCGTCGATCTCCATCAAACCATATTCCTTTATGGCCCACTCTAGCCACTGTCGCACGTGTTCCTGTGTCCACAGTGTGGGATCTGCAGAGGAGAGAAGAAAATTATCAGCCTGCATGCCTGGCTCCAGCTGCCCAGGCTACCTTTACCCTTCCTTCTCCATCTCTTCCTGTTGCCTCTCTCCTGGGTCCTCTCTCTCCTCCTGGACCTCTTCTTCTCTCCTCTCCTCTTTATCTCTCTCTGCTAGCTCCCCTCTCTTCTTCTACCTCCCTTTTCCTCATCTGTTTTTCCTTTTCTTTCTCCCTATTCACTGTATCTTTATTCCCCCTTTGTCTTTCCCTCTTATACCTCTCTCTTTTCTGGCTTCCCTTCCAGATGGTCCCCCTCAGAACACCCCATCTGGCTCCATGGCATCTGGCAATGCCTGAACCACTTAGCACTGGGAAAGTTTCTCAGCGGCCTCAACATACCCTGACAGGATGCTATTTAAAGTTTTTGGAGGGCAATTGAAACCTTGGCCTAAGAAATAATGGCATCGAAATGAAAATAAACAATCCCACAGGCACAGTGACCAATGTCTCTGGAAACGGGGGGGGGGGGGATCATCTGTATCTTAAGAATATTAATGAGTACAAGGAAGCACACTGATCCCTCAGATGCTTAGAGAAGAGAAATCCATACACTCGTGCTTTTCCCACAATTCCATCTGGGCAGCTGGAAAACCCAATAATGTTACTGTTTGACATAAACCTAATCTGGGCTTCCTCTTTTCAGGGCATAGCTGTGTTAAGATTTCAACCAGACCATCCCTAAACATTTTGAGGATATTTAAATACTTAAAAATGCTAGATGGTGCTATAGACAGAAACCTCTTTAACTGCAAGTGAGAAAGAAGAACACAGGAACAAGGCCTCTGTTCTCACTTGCCTTTTTCCTTCCCTGTCTTTCTCATGGTTTCCTGTCGCACCTTCTCAGGCTGAGGTGGGAGATGATGTTGCAAGTGACAGGGTCCCACAGGCACGATGGTACATACCAATATGCCTAGCACTTGGGAAGCTGAGACAGGAGGATTGTGCATTTGAGGCACTCTCTGCTACAGAGTGGGTCTCTCCCTCTCTCTTATACACACACACACACACACACACACACACACACACACACACACAAAGAGAGAGAGAGAGAGAGAGAGAGAGAGAGAGAGAGAGAGAGAGAAAGAGAAAGAGAAAGAGAGAGAAGACAGATCCATCAACATGAAAATGTAGGCATCAAAGCAATAAGTAAGAAATGAGTGTGTGCTGAGCCTTGGGTAGAAGGGTCTGGGGTGAATTTGGAGAGTGCTGGGAAGCTTCCTAGAGAAGAGATGGTATTTTATTGCAGGGCATCTGGTCACTCCAGCTTCTGCTTTTCTGCTTGGTCTGTTTCATTTAGCATGCTTATTTAGCAAGAAAACTTGTGCTCCTTTTCAACCAACTCAACATTCCTCTCGTTCTAGAGCCACAAAAACTCTAGACACAAGAGGACTAGGGTCTAAATTGTCAGCAAATGGCAGTGGGGAGGGAAGCCAGGTGTTGGGATCTCTAGGGGTTATAAAAGAAACCCTTGAGAGGTTGAGAGGTAGCACAGAAAAAAGTTCAGGGGTCACATGTCACAGCTCCTGCATGTCATATCAAGAATCCAGGATGTACCTACCTAGTGACAGCACAACTCTGAGATCCTACCACCAGCCCATTCTTTGTCTGTCCCATTTTCTCTATCAAGGAAATCTGCAAAATGGGTTTGTTATACCCATTTTAAAGACAGATAGGGATTCATGGAAGTTTTGCCTTAGGAACTACTGCTGGGGTTCCTTGTAGAAGCCTTCAAAAAATATCACATAGTTGGAGAAGCAGGTTCCCCTGAGATGTCCTCAGTCTTGTTTTGTCAGGATCCTGCCTTAACTCATTTGGAACTGCAAAGCCTTGAGCCAGAACTGAGATTTTGTCTGACCCTCAGACCCCTTGAGCTTGTATGTATTTGTGTTCTTCAGATAAACTTCTGGTTTTGTTTTTATCCCCTTACTTTTCAAATCAAGCAAGGGCTGTGGGTAAATGGAAATCTCAGAACACTAAAGAAAGATATCCCAGAGCAAGTTGGATTATGTAGCATATTATTTCATCTGTAGCTTCTCCCAATTCCTTACTTGTAGAATCCAAGACTGAACGTTCAATTTTATGCTCTATATTTTATTTATTTTATTATTTCCTCTCTTTGCTTTGGGCTCTATCACAATGTTAATTCTCTCCCTCTCCAGCACCATGAATTATAAATCTTCCACTCTGGATCATGCTAAACTCTTCCAAATGTATTTCCTGGACGACTTAGCCCTTGTTCCTTCCCATCTCAATGTGGAAATGGTGATTAACTAGAGCCCCCATTTATACTTGTCTTAAAATCCCATCATAAATTCAATCGGTTGTTCCACTAATGTTTTATTGCCTTGATTTGTGGACTTGCCCAAAGGAGAGTTTCCCTTGAGTCCAGGATGCTGACCTGGAGGAAGCCAAACTGTGTAAGGGTAATGCTTCCAGATCTAGCCAGTGAAAGAGCAACCGAGCAGATCTGGGCTCATGAATTCATTATGCCAAATGCTTTGAAACAGCTTGATAAGAATTTATGCCATTTTCTTTTTTAGTGGTTAAGTCAGTCCACTGAAGACCGACATTTTGCCAATCCACTTGAAAACGTTTCAACAGCATTTAAAGAGTAGAGAGTCAGCCAAACAGTCAGGTCCCTCTTCCTTCTTCCCATATGCCCTTCCTTATGACAACCAAAACAAGATGGTGGCAAAAACCTGGTTCTGAGGTAATCTCCAGGTCCCTAATTGTTCATGCCCTCAAGAATTCCTTCTTGTGCTGTGAGGTTGGAGCAGGCCTTGTGGTGTGGAGAATGTTCCCACCATGTTGGTTTCAATATGATTTTACTGTCTGAAAGTAGGGAGAAGACCACTTGGGCTAACCAGCACCAGATTGTTTACTGAGGGTGGTGACAAATCAATTCAATGATATGATAATGAAGTAGAGAAAGCTATTTGCATTAAACCTGGTACCGGTGAAACCCTGCTAATTGAATCTCTTCTGGACAAGCATAGGTGACACACATCTCCAGTTAGTCCCAGAACTCAGGAGGCAGGGGCAGGAGGATTGCTGCAAGGTCTTACCTGCCTGGCTTACCCAGTGAACTAGGACAGCATGTGCTACACAGCAAACTCCTATCTCAGACAACCCAAATAAGCAAACAGACAAATCAAACAGGTGAAGCTCACCTTGCAATCATCCCCCATGCTGGGAGAAGAGGCAGCAAGGCAGCATTTAGTCCTATGAACTACAGAACAATACCCATGAGCTCTTCCTCTGCCTCTATTCCTGTATCTTCTATACCACTGTCATGTGGAATTTAGCCCAGAACTCAGAAATGTGGCTGTCACTCTAGGAGGGTAGTCACAACTTCCCATGGAAACAAACACACAGGACAGGAGAAGGCTGTGCCCATCACAAAATTGTCCTTCAGACCAATAGATAAATCCCTCCAAACTCCCTCTGAGACATCTAATCCTTCTTAAGACACATCTGCGTCTACACGCTTACAAATCGAGGGAGCCAGCCTCTCTGGTGAAGTTATTTTGGTAAGATTCGTTTTAGCCCCTGCCCTGTAATTCACTTTGTTCAAGCTCTGGACATTTTGCCCCTTTCCCCTGACACCCACTCTAAAGTGGCAGCTTTTGAATTCCCTCCACATCCAGGCAGCAGAGTATACTAGGGTTGGTTCTGGTAGCATTCATCCAATAGGCTGCAGGGTTTAACAATAAACCCCCCACCCCGCATAACCAACAGCACCAATACCTAGGAAAAAAAAAAAAGAGGCTATTTCTACATAATGACATAACTTGTGGCACACACGTGGGGGCGTTCCGTTTGTTAAATATAGTTATTTCTATTTTAAAACCAAAAGAGCTGGCTGTAATTTTGGGAAGGTGGAACCTAGCACAGGCCAGGAAGTACATGCCTGAGGGAAGGGTGGAAGGAAAGAATGGTGGGTATGAGGCAACCTTGCCTTTGCCCTCTGGGTAGGTTTAATCCTGGGGTACCAGGCCACTCATGGAAAATCTGCCTTCTGCTATGTTTGAGAGTGGGGCTTCTGGAATCTGCTTTCAGGGGTTCTGCTGACATT